TAAGTACCTTTATTGTCCCTTTTCCACAGATGTCAAGCCTTTGGCCCAGGGAAGTAAGAAACTTGTCTAAGATCCCACAGTGAGTAAAGCTAGAGCCAGACTGAACATTAGAGAATGAATATATTGTCTTGCCAGTTGGTTTCAGCCCCGGGCAAGTTCACTATGGATTCAGTGTGACCAAAGAAATGACAGCAGAACATTCTTGGTGTGAAAGGGTTATACCCAAGTTTATTTCCACCGTGGCAGGTCAATCCCTAAAATCTTCTTCACTCAGAGTGAGTCTGCATGTAGTAAGCCGGTCTCTGCCTATGGGCCTCTCTGCCTGCACAGTTATCCCACACAGCCATCCTCTGGGCCTCTGTCCTCAGCACCGCCACCACTCCAGCCTCTGCTCTGCTCTCCCGCAGCCTTGCAGCCATGCCACCGTGTCACCCAGAGCACTGGGCGAAGCTCTTTATATAGAGTCAGTAGCAATGTATTGCCCACATGTGTGTAGTGAGCTAGCCAACCAGGGCCAGGTGAGATTCCTGGCCACAGGAACTTTCATTTTATCCACATATATATATATTCCTCATCTATTAGTATGTGTGATTTGAGTAAACCTGAAAATGAATCTGTGGGATATAGTTTCCATACAGGGATTATAGCAAGGTTAGATGAATTTTTAAAAATAATAGAATTTTTGAAGAGTATTTGTGTCTATTTATAAAATTCAATTTTAAACAATGAGACAAAATAGAGATCAAATGACTTATGAGTCTTACGGACGTGAGTCAAGCAGAACTTCTTTTGCTCTTAAACACCATTAAAAGGTCAACACCCCTCAAATATGGTTATATTTTGGTTAAATGTGGTGCTTGGGCCCTACATTGCAATCTTGTGTCCTCAGATGTCTTCAGACAAGGCCAAAGGCCTGCAGAGAAGAGTGGGAACTATACAAAGCAGAGTTATAAACATTACTTCCACTGCCAGAGACCTGCATTCAGGAGACTTCTGCCTCTTAACCACTGCATTGTTCATTTAGTAATTCATCACTTACTTTCTGTGTCTTTTATTTTCTTGAGCTTTTAACTATTGTATATTCTTATTTCATAAAGGACATATGCAAATGCTTGATAATATCTTAGGGGTATGAACACTCTCCCATCGCCACCCCCCAACCAACACCAAAGGCCAGATAATGTCTTATAATTTCAAATCTCTCATAGTCCCTACACAGGTCCACATATTTGATGTGAAAGAGCAATGTTCAGTGTTCTTTTAACTCATTTTCACACTTGGAATTATACAAGTAAATACTGCTTTTATGCCATATGTTCAGAAAGCTTGCAGCTTTCCCCAATACAGACAGTAGCCAAATTGCAAATGAAACTTTTCTAAGAGTTATTTTGTTTATTGGTTTTTGGAACTCAGTGAAAATAATAAGCATATTGATTGTATTTCCAAGTGAAACTACACTGATGCAGTGAAGTAAAATCATCCTGTAAACCATGGTAAATGCAAAAGTTCAAATACGACATAGTTGCCATGGGGAAGAGCAGATATGTAGATGTATGTGTACCCCATCCTTACCCCAACACTGTCCACCTCCCTGCTCTAATATGAGCAGAGATTCCCCTCTTCACTAGCCTAGGTTTTAGGTTTTGAGGTTGAAGGGAGTTTAGTTCTTGGGCCCTAAATCACCAACTTTGCTTGAGGGAATCAGGTGGTGGAGCTGATTATAGGGACCTCCTGGTGCTTCTAAGCATTGTGGTGGGGAAAGTCTGCAAGGTGTCTTTCATTTCTTTATGTTCCCTTTCCTTGCTTCTTTGTTGCTGCTGATGGCTTGGGAAGCAGAGAATCAGCTGTGAGGTTTTTACAGTTGTAGCAAGACAGAGTTGCCTCCCCCTGTCCTTTGGTTCTGCTAGTGTGCTGAGAGGGTGATGAGACTGAGGCAGGAGCGGGGGCTAGGCAGTACCTCATCAAGGCAGAGGAGAGGATTTCTCCATGAAAATGCCCACAGCAGCACACATACTGTAATGTACAGAGGTGGGAGAAAGACATGCATTTCATGCACTGGGCTGGGAATTGGAAATCGTAAACATCTGCATGTTGGCAGCAGCAAGGAGGAATGCAAGAAGAGAGGGAAGGAAAATAATTAGCAGAGGAGGGAAGTCATATGTAAGGAACAAGTCTGTTTAGGTCATATTTTGCCTGTAAGATAGAGGGCCAAACCCAAAGCAAGGCCCCTAAATTCATAGTCCAATTACATAAATGCCATTTTGTTTTCTAAGAAAGGTATGTCTTAAAATGTGAATGATTAAATTCAGATGTGGAACTGATGCCTGGGTTCTTGTTCACGAAACTGAAGAATGAGCTTCACAAACACTCAAGGTAGGAGAGCAAGGTACAGGCTTTTATTTAGAGATAAAGTGAAAGGACAGAGCTCCCGGCTCACTTCAAAAGGGAACAAGAGAGTCCGGGGTAGTGTGTTGTCTAGGCGTTTTATAGGCAGTTTTGGGAACATGAAAAAAAGGTTAGGTGTGTGGACTTATTAAGTGGTCCCTGAATATTTAGAATTAATTTAACACAAGCAACTTCCTGCTCTGATGATTTCTCCCTGAGACACCAGCATGTTGGTCTGGGAGCATATCAACAAGGCCACCTGTCCAGCCTCCAAGGTGGGCTGAGGTATTGTTTGCTAAAGAGTAGGTTAAGAATTTCTAACTTCTTAACTTCTTGGTATTAAAATGCAATCTTATCTTTAAGGTGGAATCCTTCTTGTCTTTTACTATGTTGTTTATGTCTGGGCTTACTTGCTAAATCAGTTGCCCAGTTTGCCAAATCACCTTATCAGATTGGAAGTAGGAAAGACAGCACATAGGCCTGGGTGTTTTAGCATGGTAAAGTGAATCTTACACATGATTTTAAGTGATTAGCATAATAAAAACATGTGTTACTCTTCTTTATCTGGGGAATATTAACTGATCTCACTGAAGAATAACTCTAGAGCTTAATGTTTAACAGAGTTTTGGTAGGGGGCTTCCTTGCATGTAGTTACATGTTCTGACTGCAGATATCCTGCCTTGCTTTTTCTGGAGGCCCTCACCCTACTCTGACTGCACCCCAGGTCCCTGTCCAGAGCTTGCTGTAGGTAACTCCACTTTGTATGTGTCAGCTTTATAATGTTAAGTTAATGTTAGTAGGCCTTGGAAACTCTTCAACTCCTCTTAGGTAGTACAGGGAGCTGGAGGAAAGGTCAGCCTGCCCAGGGTCCCTCCTTTCTGGAGCCTAGTTCCAACAATCTTCTCTTTCACTCTATCTCATTATTTCCTTATCTTCAAAGTACATACATGTGTGAGCATTGGGTCCACCTACAGACCACCCGGGAAGTGTGAAAGCAATTGGTGCAGGAGCCATGCAGGAAAGGTTGGTCAGTAGGATCTAAGCAAGCCAGCCAGAAACCCAAGATGAGCCTTAGCCTTCCCTGGGCTATCAAGTGAGTGGCAGAAGGTAGAGACACAGCTGGAAAGGAAAAGGGTGACTATTACTAAAATTGCCACCTATTATATCAAGAATCTGATTGGTGATCTCTGCCGACCCGACTAAAATATGTAAATCTTCCTCAATATGTATTTTATTTTCAGTCTCTTTTACCCAATTCTCTTTTAGTCACTTCATTTACTCTTTTATTCAATTCATTCCTCTTACCCAATTCTGTCTGAAATTTAAAACATATTTTATTAGTAGGGGTGGGGAGACAAACCCAATAAGATTATTTAGAAGGTTAAACTAAAATGGATTATTTGAATTAGGCATAGGGTTCCTAACTGAAATTTAGGTTTTAACAATCAGTATTTAAGTTACACTTAAGAGTTCTTAGGGTATATTGTGGGACAGTAGTCCTCCGCCACAGTGAAAAATGATCTCCAGAAAGTAAAATATTACCATTTTTATGGCATTCCTTTTCTTTAACTTCAGTGCCATAGTCACCAACAACTGAAAGGGAAAACCCTAAACCATCCAGCTTCAGTGATTTTTTAAATTCTAAGGCCACTTTCCTTCTGGAGGGGGAGTGGAGCTGTTGAAAGGGCTGTACCAAACTAAGGTCAAGGCAGCAGTGCAGCTACCAAACTGCTGGCAGGCAGAGTCCACTTTGGAGAGACAAACGAGGAGGCTTAACTCAAGTCTCCTGACCTGCAAAAAGCAGGCAGGTGTTAGAGGGACCGCCTTTTTGGATAGGGTGGAGACCCGGACGGATGACGCCTTCTCTGGTTAGAAAGGAAATTTGGTATTAAGAAGGCCTCACCAAATCCCAATAATAACCAAACAACTGGTGGTGTCCAGGGCACCGGGTGGAAAGTGGGAGGCAGGAAGTAGAAAGGCTCAAGCTCCTTTCCCTGGGTCAGTTCAGGAATTTAATTTCAGCAAATGTTTGTTGGAGCCTCGTAAGTGTTAGGCACAGTGTTAAGCACTGGGATAATAAAGTCGAATGAAACGTGGTCTTGTCCTTGAGGAGCCCAGAGTTCAGCAGAATGGCTTCACAACATTCCTCATGGGCTTTGATAACTTTTATCCTGGGACTTGTCAGGGGAGAGTTGCAACTAAATCCATCCACACTTTTCTTCTGAAGATTTCAAAACCGACAAAAAGAGACGCGGCACGGGGTGGAGGAGAGATGGCCGCAGACCCTGAAGCCAGGCTTGGGAGCCCAGGGGCTGTGCTGGTGGTGTCTGCTCTGCCGGCAAGGGGCAAACCAGACCGGCGCCCGCACTGGCACCCTGGCCTCGGCTCGGGCACAGCAGCGAGTCTGGCAGGCGGGCGGGCCGACAGCAGGGAGCTGGGGTGCAGCCGCGCGGATGCCGGGCTCCGCGGCGGGCCTGCGCACCCGGCACCCGCCGCCAGGGGGCAGAGGTCCCCATCTGGGGCCCGGCCCCGCCACTCCCGGCGGTGTGCGCGTCTCTGCGCACGTCGTCCCCGCCCGCCGGCTCTCCGCGGAGCTCAGGATCTCACCGCCCGCGAGCGGCCGCAGCAGAGGCACCGCGGGAGGCGGGCGGGGAGGGGTAGGGGTCCGCGAGCGGGGGTGGAGGGGCTGGAGGAGGGCTTCGAGGGGCGCGGCAGCCCCGCCCCGCTCCCTTGCCTCCGCCTCGGAACCGAGGAGCCGGGGAGCTTGGACCAAAGCCCGCCGTTCTGGCACCATGACGCTTGGCCGCCTTGTGGCGGCTCTGGTCTTAGGGGCGCTCCCCGAAGTGGTCAGCTTTGATCCGGTGCTCAGTTACCCGCCCCACCAACGCCATCGCGGCTCACCCCCTCCGGGTCCCCGGCACCCTTACTCCCTTCCTATGCCGCAGCGGCACCAGAGGACGCCTCCGCCGGCCGCCCTCCCGCGCGTCCCACGCCCCCCGTCCGCGCTCCCCGCCCGTCGCCTGGCCGCCCTCCACGCGGGGCACCGGCCAGGGCCGCTCCCCGGGGGCTGCCCCTCCGGCGAGCGCTGGGTCGACGTGACGGACTTCGGCGCCCCTTGTCTGCGCTGGGCGGAGGTGCCACCCTTCCTCGAGCGGTCGCCCCCGACGAGCTGGGCTCAGCTGCGAGGGCAGCGCCACAACTTTTGCCGGAGCCCGGACGGCGCGGGCAGACCCTGGTGCTTCTACAGGGGCGCTCACGGCAGGGTGGACTGGGGCTACTGCGACTGCAGGCACGGTGAGTGCACCGGGCAGCGGCGGCAAGCGGGACTGGTGCGGGAGCCAGCTGACTGGGAGAGGGCGTTAGGCGTTACTTGGAGAGAAAGTAAGTGTGGGGTTTCGGGTTTGCATTGCCCAGTGTGACGGTTTGGTTGGCCGATGCTGTTACCGGCAAAGTACACTGGTACCTGGACTTGAAATTAGCTAGGCGTGCTTTGTGTCTGAAGAGTGTTAGGGGAGATAGTTTCTCTGCAAGGTGCTGTGCTCTGAGTTCCTGGATATGGACTCTGGCCACTACGTGTTATGTGTGCGCGCGTGTAGGTAGATGCGTGTGCCCTGAGTGGATGTGTTGTCCGGATCAGCTTGCATTGTGGGTGTTACCATATTTACGTAAAAGAAGCAAAGCAAAGGAGGAGATAAAGTTTACAATTACTTGTTTTGGAAAAGGAAATACTAAATCTAATACAACAGCCAATAACCTCCCTTCCCACGGACAAAAAATATGATACAGTTTTTGTCTTACTCCCACCATTGACCTCTGTTTGAGAAAGTATGGCATAATCTCCTGGCCAAAATACAACTTGTCAAAATGATGTTCACGTTCTAGGGCACAACATGGTAAATACCATCAGTGAGTGAAGAAAAAAGAAGGATAAATAGTAACTATTTTATGGAAGAAGCAACTTGATAAATCAAGTATACTTTTCAAGGATGTCATTATCTAACTATAGATGTTATTTGTGCAACATGAGGATTAGTTGATAACATCAAAAGATAAAATTGGTAAGATGTTTTGGTTTTCTGGTAATAAAAGCATCACATTAATAGAAATAATGTAAGTGAATAATCTGCCTTTGAATAGTGGTTTGTGGAGTTGGTGTTTTTTTTTTTTCAATATTAGGGCATTTTTCCCCTTTTAGTAGCCGGGAAGAAAAACCTTATGTCCTTCAAAATTTGAATATTCCTTCCAATATTTTTTTGGCAGTTCTCCACTCAAACTAGAGGGCTGGGGTTTCATGATTTGGGATTCTGAAATATATTGTACTTTGTACCTTTAGAGATAATTTGAAGGTCATTTTCACAGTACCATTCTCTTCCTACAGAAATTTTTATTTGTGCCTTCAGTTGCATTAATGCTTTGAGTTAGAGAAGTGATAGGAAGGTGAAGATCAATTATCCTTCATACTAGAGAATGAAGTCATTGCTATACTCATGTTTCGTGGACAGAATGCTAATGTGGCTATTAAATATGGAGGTAATATCAAGCAAAGAGCCATAGCATTTATGTCATTATTACTGTAAGAGATTTGTAGTAAAATATATGCAATTTTTTCATTTTCTATTTTATGTCCTATTTATATATGAAAAATGTTAGGAAATATATATGCATATGTATGTATAAGGAAAAAAATGGAATTCAAACTTAGAACACTATAGTGATCTATTGCTCTTTTTGACGTAATTCTCTTCACTCATTTGTATTTCAAATGAGTGAAGAGAGTAAACTGTCCTTCAGTTTCCCCCAAACCCCTTGTATTGAATAGAAATTTAAACCTAGCAGCAGCACAGACTTTTTATGATGCCCTTGTGTTTGTAGCTAATTTTCACCAGACAGGACTTCAAACATTGCATAATAGTTGTGTGTACTTCCTGGGGTGAAGTGATTGGACACAAGAGAAACAAAAGAAACCACCCAAGGTGGGAGATAAATGCCCTCTCCCCTGCTCCTCCCCAAGCAGGAAAGCAGTTGATGGCTGTGTAATAATGGAATTATACTTTGACAGACTCAGCCTTGATAACAGAAGCTCTCCATTCCATCACTCACTCCTCATACTCTGATTAGGTGCAACCCAAACCTTTGTAATGACTGGCATGTTCTGACCCTTATGGTTTCCTTGGTCCTACCTTTCACTTAGGAGGGTGAACAAAGCTATCATGAAGTGGTGAGAAAATGCGGAATTGTGCTTTGGAAAACACTGGTGTTCAGTTTGGGTCTCCAAGCTTTGGTTTCCTTATGCGCAGAAAAGCAGTTTTTGAATAATTTAACACAAAGAACTTTATCAGCTCTGAGCATGTACAGAAATGGCCTGATAATAACAGCTAGGATTTGTTAAGCATTCACTCTGTAGGATGCTGGGCAAAGCAGTGTGTATATTCATTTTTTCATTTAATTCTCATAACGACTTATAAGGTAGTGCATGTTTTCATATCACTGCTCATTTTGCTCTAGTTCTTTAATTATACAAACATGTAGAAATATCTGAGGTGTCTAATCCTATTTTTGTAGCTTAAGAACTAGTGTAAAAAGAAAGGGAATTATGTTTGGGCCAGTGCTCATGATTTCCAGTCTCTTATGATTTGAAAATATCTGGAGTTTTCTTTTTTTCCCTTGCAAAAACCAACTAGGACAAAAGGAAAGAAAATTCATAGTGAAGGGTCTCCACCAGTAAATGGCAAACTTCCAGCTTCTTTTCTGGGTCCTCGGTTCCCGCCGGCGCCACCTGAAGTCCAATCACCTCTCACCCCCCTCCCAATCCCAGCACCTAGCCAACAGCCACCAGCCCCGTAGAAGTAACACCACAATCACCCTATGCCCCTTCCTATATAACCCAGCACCTTTCCCTAATAAAGCGGAACTCTCTGGTGAATTGCTGCTATGTGTCGCTCCTTTCCTTTCACATAGTAGTGAGATCCTACCTTTACAAAATAAACTGGAGGCCAGAGTCAAGTATCTAGTTGCTTTGAAAGAAATGAGGAAGTTGGTGCCTCTGAGGCGGAACTGTTTGAAGCCAGTTGAAGGGATGGTATGGGGGGGAACCCAGGTGAAGTAGGGCAGGGTGTGGACACTCCAGTGGTGCAACTGTCGTGGAGTGAAGAAGACCATACCTGAGCCTTGGTTGTATGAAACGTTCAAATTAGTAATAAGAAATCACCCGGAGAGTTTAAGTACCCTAAATCAGCCCAGGGAGTTTGTTCTCATAGTAGAACTTTCAAATCACCAAGAGACTTGTTAAAATGCAGGTATCTGGCTTGTAGCCTTCAGAAGGCTTCACCAAGCAATCTTAGATCTGCCTGAGGAGTGTGCATTTCTGATGAACAGGCAAGGTGATTTGGTTGCTGAAGACCCTTTGTTACAGTGAGGGAAAATCGTGGGCAGGCATCAGAACCCATCTAGAATGTATAGTGATGGGTGATCATGTAGAGTAACTGAGTCTACCATTCTGTGACTCACCCTGCTGGTGTCAGGAACAAGCTAAAGGCATTCCTGTGGTAACTTTTTCATATGGTTTTAGAAAATGGCACCACTGAGTTTTATTTGGTGTAGGTATAACAGCCTACTTCACCAGAATATGATTATTAACTGAGTGTGAGCTAGGTTATTTTCACATTTCTATAGGAAGAATTAAATGGTACTTGATATCCCCAACAATACTTGCAATAATTAAGAGCTTCTTGACCCAGAAAGGAAATCACTTTTCCAGTTTCTGGTTGGCATGGCAGATGGGGCAACTTGCTCCACGCTCTGTTTGGAACTCCTCTTTGTTACAAAGAGCCAAGTGGAACTCAACTCTAGCTGACTGATGACTGATGGGTAAAACAGGTACAGTAAGTGATAATGCTCTGATAATTGAGATTTTGCCAGAAAGAATGGTGCATAGATCTGGCTTTTTGTCAGGCCACGCTAATCTGTTCATGTACATGTACCAACCCAAATCTCCCGATTCAGACAGAGGGAGCAGACTTGTGGGACAAGTACTGTTGTTTACAGGCTGTTCTCTTTGAAGTCCATCTGGTGTTTGAAGTGAATGTTAATTAAAAAGTTGGCTGAAAGCTGTCCCCCTCTTTTAAAAAATGCTGTATCTTGATTTCATGTAGCAGGTGCTGAAAAACATTTATTTTCAGATTTGATACATTTTCTGGCTGGATTTTAAATATTGAGCTCAATCTGCTTCTGAGGCTGAGGCAGAAATACAATACTTTAGGGGTATTATCTGACTCTACTAGTGTGTGGATTTTTTTTTTAAAGAAAATAAGACATCCACTTATTATTACCTTTTATGAGTGATTATCTGGGACTGTATATCATATGTAGTCACTGTTTTTGAGTGTGTGTATTAAAGTAATCTTTATAAGTAATTTGGTTTATAACTGAAGGAAACCTTAATTTTTAGCAATAAGCTACTACTCAGATGTCCTTTCATTTGATGGATACTATGCATCTATTAAAGTGATAATTATAAAGATTATATAGAACAATAGGAAAAATGCTTTGGATAATGTCAAGGGTAAGAGATGGATCACAACATTTATATACAGTGTTACTGAAAATAAAGATGCTTGTGGGAAATTGGGAACAAATTTTGATTATGAACTTGGGTATGAACGTGGCGTAGCTCAGTTAGGCTGGTTGTGAGGGCGAGGAATGGTCCGCCCAATTCAAAGTAAGTGAGGCCATAAGGACATTTGTTGTTCACATTACAAGAAGTCGGGTTCCAACATGGTACATATTGTTTCTCTACTACTCTCTTGTTCCTCATTCTCTAAGTGTGGCTTTTATCCTGAGGCTAGGGGTCATTTCATGCTTCACATTGAGATACAAATGACCTGCCAAAGAGGGCTGCCCTTCTTGCCTGTCTCATTGAAAGAGCAAGGAAACCTCCCCAGACTTCCCCCACAGACTTCCTCTCTCCTTTCAGTGGCCCAGACTGGATCTCCATGTGCCTTCCGCGCTCTCTGGGAAGGAAAATAGAGTACCCTGTATTGTATTAATCAGGATTAACTTCTGAACACGTGAGGGCTCTCCTAGGAGGAGGAAGTGAGGTAGTCCTTGGGGAGAACTAGCAGGGTATGCTAGGAAGTATGGTTGAGGTTTGTCTTTACATTTGGGAGAATCAACGCAATTAAAAAATGGTAAAGATTTAAAAAATGGTGCTGTGAAGTGCTACATCTATTTTTAGCCACATCTAGATGAATAGCATTTTGACCTTGATTTGACTGAAAATGCATGTTCTTGTTTTT